TCTAATGTCTGGTTCCACACCTTGTGATTAAAGACGTGATTTTTCTCTCTCTCTTTTTTTTTTATTTGTCACTCATTTCAACAAGTTGTAAATGACATCAGTTGAGACAAACACGGGTCCTTGTGTCCTTCTAGGCTGGTGATCTCCATCCGTCCGTCTCTTCCACAGTCCTCTTCTTCTTCTACCTAATCTCTTGTGTGAGCGCAGACCGGATCAGGACCCGGTCCAGCAGCAGAGTCTGGGTTTGGAGCCGAGGACGTCCAGCGGTCTGCAGACCTGAGCTGACGCTGAACTACGACTGACTGTGAGCTGACGGGGGAGCGTGAGTGCTGGGCGAGTGGGACATGTCTCTGCCGATGATTTCGTTCACTGTGAAGACAGAAGAAAAAGAAAAACAGACTTAAAATTAAACTTCCATCACGTTCCATCCTCCACAAATCTCATCCAGTCCAGTTTGTGGATGGTTATTCTCCTGCTAAAGAGAGGCATGTTCATCCTTTTACCACCAGGGGGCAGTGTTGTTCCACGTCGCGTTCTTCCCACGTCGGAAAGCTCAAAGCATCCCGAGCTCAAAGTGGAAACAAAAAGTCAAGCGGTGTGTCAAAACTCAAAGGTCACAAAGTCAGAGGCCTCACGGGAGACTTAATAAATCCTGACAGAACAAATGAGAGAAACTATTCCATTCAGTACAACCGGCCAACGCTGACCTTTGTGCCAGTCCAAAAAACATCAGCCGTTACCACAGCACATCCACTCCTATAAACAGAGAGCAGCGAGGGCCGTCAACCGTCGGCCTGTCTTCAGGACTTTCCCCTCGCGTCCACGTCAAACAAAATACGACGTGGAAGGAAAGAAAAGCCCAGAGAGGTGTCAGGAGGTTAAAGACCGGGGCACAGCTCCACTCTAAACAACCTGCACACAACGCTGGTCTGGAGAAAAAGCCTTGCAGTTTTTTCAGCCCCAACATGAACTCTGTCCATCAGTTTGAAAAGATGGGACTGAAAAAAAACAAACATGTGGAGATTGTTGTTTTGTTTTTTGTTTTCAACACAGAACCCAGTCTTCACTTCTGGTCAAAGCTGGAAACTGCTGCTGAATGTACATGTGCACAGTACTGCATTAAAAACCATGAGGCTACAGTGGTGGATGTGGGTACTGCATGTACTGCAGTATTTACCACAGAAAACACTGTGTTCTGTGGGTAGAATAATCAGGTTTAAAAACATCAGTACATTCATTTTTTGACTTCCTTTAATGATGATCAAATATTATTCTACTCTTCCATCAACTGTTGTGTTTCAGACGGACACTGACCTGATGACCCGACACATCAGATGTGACCTGTACGAAGCGTCTGGTTCTTCATGACGAGGAGAAAAAGAACTTCAACATCAACAACAACCAGAACTCTCAGTGTGTGATGAAATTATAAAACATATTTAAAAGTAAATGTGTCTCTGTCCCTCCGTCCCTCTGTCCCTCTGTCCCTCTGTCTGTGCCAGAGTTTTAAGGAGTGAATTATGACGCTGTGATGAAGAGTTTAAGGTGGAAACACAGTGCAGTGACAACAGGGTCAGTTCAACTGGGATTGTTCTGTGGTAAAGAGACGTCGTCCTGACGGGGACACGTCTCACTCACACGTTTAAGTCCAGGCTGGGAAAACTGGTCCAGGAGGTGGAGACGAGACCTTTGTACCAGTTTGACAAAGAAGGAGGGAATCAAAGTCAGATCTGTCTCAACATGTGCTGCTGCTGCTGATGTTACTGCTGTAACTGCTGCTGTAACTGCTGCTGCTACTGCTGTTACTGCTGTTACTGCTGCTACTGTTACTGCTGTTACTGTTGCTGCTGCTACTGCTGTTACTGCTGTTACTGCTGCTGCTGCTACTGCTGCTGCTGTTACTGCTGTTACTGCTGTTACTGATGCTGCTGCTGTTACTGTTACTGCTGTTACTGCTGCTGCTGTTGTTACTGCTGCTGCTGTTACTGCTGCTGTAACTGCTGTTACTGCTGCTGCTGCTGCTGTTACTGCTGTTACTGCTGCTGTTACTGCGGTTACTGTTGCTGCTGCTGTTACTGCAGCTGTTACTGCTGCTGCAACTACTGCTGCTGCTGCTGCTGCTACTGCTGTTACTGCTGTTACTGCTGTTACTGCTGCTACTGTTACTGCTGCTGCTACTGCTGTTACTGCTGTTACTGCTGCTGCTGCTGCTGCTGCTGTAACTGCTGCTGTAACTGCTGCTGCTCTCTCTGCATCACATACTGTATCTGTGCATCGCTGCAACATTCCTGCCAAGTATTTTCCCTCCAGGCCATAATTCACAGCACTTTAGTTCAGTGCGTTTTATTATTTTAGTAACACTACGTATGTTTACCCTCAGGAAGGAGTTAAAAGAAAAAAAGAAAAATAGTGTCTGGTTCATTTCAGCCTTTACTTGGTTTAATTCTTTTTTCTTCTTTTTTTTTCCTTTGCTGATATTTTGGGATTAGATACTGTATGTATATAAGGAGCAGTTGACAAAAAACTGTTTGGCTTCATCTCGTCTTCTACATCTTCTACATACAACCTAAGAAAAAAATATTATATTATATATATATATATATATATATAATATTAATAATATAATATTAATATATAATATATAATCAACATTATTTTGTGTACAGGACACCAATAAAAACAATTAGATCTAAAAAAAGATAAACACAGTTAAATAAAGAATAAAGCTATAAATATTCATTTATACACATTTCATTCATCCCTAACGAGCGATTGCACAATCTTTGTTTTGCTTTCTAACCAATTATTGTCTTTGAAACACTGTCGCCGACTAACTGCAACTTTTTGATGATCCAAATCAGTAGCAACTTTTCAACGTCTTCTCATGTCTGAGATCTTTGCTCGGTGATCACATGCAGTCATGGAAGTCTTTTTAAATTTTTTGATTTTTACTAAGGGCTGAATTCTGAACTTTTCTTGTGCGTCTCTTCTTGTATTTGTGAAGCTGTTTGTCTTTGTGTCTGGCCACCATCACTCATCATCCTGTTAGCGTGGGAGGCTCTTCCTTTCCAATGTCAACCATATTCTCTCACACACACATACAGTCACACATACAGTCACACTTGCAGCACCAGCACACACTCACGACACTTTACTGTGACTGTCGAGGCAAACAAACAACTTTAACAAAGTCAAACGTGTGTTTATCTACAGAAGTTAATCTCCTAATTTGACTAGTTTCCTCGGAGACTACATACAGTCACCTCCACTGCACTGATGTCTAAGATAAGTGCTACAAATGTTTTAAAAAGGTTAGGGTTAAGGTTAACCCTAATTGACCTTTAGAAAGACCAGAGCTCAAAATAAAACTGTATCTAACACTTGTAGCTGAACTTATATCTGATAAAATCTCTCTCTCTTTTTTTAAATTGACACCTGTGGCTTTGAGTGAAGATGAAATGTTGATGAAATATTTCATGATAATGAACCATGATCTACCGAAACACATTTTCTGCTGCGGTCAGCGTTGATACGCCCGCGTCGCATCACTGGAGTCGACCTGCTCCAACACAACAGGGATCTGAGCGGCGCTGTGTGAAGTACCACAGACCAACACCAAGTGGGCGTCTGCAGAAACATATCACTTTCTGCTGCGCTGATTAGATTGTTGCGGAGGCAAACATTAACCCGTCTGCTGTTGCAGGGACGCTGCACAACGCAGAATTAAATCAAGAGCAACTCCTAATTCCTGTGATGTGATTAACCGTGTCGTCCACGTGGTGACGGGCGCGGCCAGCGTTCGTGTACGGCACAAAATAACACAAATTAACAAACGCTAGATGTTTGAGCGTTAAAATATAACTGGAAGTAGTGTAAAAAAGTACGTCTGCTTCAGTTAGAGCAGGAGACCTGGATGTGGACGGTTTGACTCGACTCGGGCCTGAGACTGGTTTCACATGCTCGTAGTATTGTCTCAGTTTTACTGGTGTCCTTCGTGACAGTGCAACAGAAACCTGATGATTCAGCGATGCCTGGTGCAGTGAGTGTTCCTCCACAGAAGGGAGATCCTCTGTGAATGACTCGGAGGGGGGGCTCCCTGATACATGTGCAGTCAGCCCCTAACAAATATTACTACAGATACTACTGTGGAGCGTTGGAGTACTGAGTACTGATAACTGCTGTGGGAGCTGCTGAGCTGTAAGAAAGTCTCTGAACTGGAGGGTCGAGGAGGAAGAGTTGTTGTTCTGACTTTTTACATTAACTGAGACAAGTTGTTGTAAAGAAATGTTAGAATCCTAGAAACCGTACAGAAGTAACTGTTTTTTACTTCTGAAGAAGTAAACAAACAAGCTTAAATAATATAAATGAATCTTTATCTGGGAAACAACATGAACTCCTGTCACAAAGACTTATTTACACTGAGTTTTAAACTTTAAACTCTAGGAATCACGTCATTTTCCTAAGCGCAGATTAAAACCCTCTGTGGTTAAGTGACCTTATGTTCTGATGTTCAACCCAGTGAAGGTATTTTGAAATGATTTCCATAAAGTAGAAGCAGTCGATGCAGAGCAGCGGGCGACGGTGCGACGAACACATCAACTGTTGAAATGGAAAACGGGCAATCAACATAATATGACTGTGTGACAGAGTGAAAACGTTCCCTGACCCTGGAATAATAATAATAATATAAAAAAGAAACAGCAGTTTGGCAGATCAGTCTGTAAGTAAATAAGTCAAAAACTGGGAGATTCTTTAGTCCAGCGGACGGAGACGGCACAATGGAAAAGGTTTGAGTCGAAGGAACAGAAAGAGGCAAGACTTGGTTCGCCTGCAACAGGGAATATCAAAGCGCACACTTTCCATTTGCAGGGGCCCTGTAATGACACGCATAAGCCCTGGGCACTGACATGACACACACACACACACACACACACACACACATACTGGAAACAGATCGTCAGCTGAGGGAGTTTAAAATCTTCCACAGTGAAACCGTTTTAATTTTAATTCATTTTAACTCTGTTGCTTCTCCGTCCAAACTCACTGTTGTGTTTGAGATTTGAATTTAAATATAAAGGAAGAGTGGGCGAGGGAACGATGCACAGCGCAGTGTTTTTGAAAAAGTGAGACTGTGACACATCACGGTGAATCATGGGTAAATTTCCCACTTGATTTAACGATAAATGTTTTGCAACTTTCGTCCGTGACAAATGACCCCCGACCCTGGGACAAATATGTAGAGGACGACCGTCAAAAAGTCCACGACAAACGGAGACAGACGGAGACATAGACAGGATGAAAATGTCTCATCTTAAATTTACTTATTTCTAATCAGCTGGTTTATTGTTCTGCTTTTTTTTTTCTTTGAAATTACACAGCTTTGTTAACCGACTACAAAAGTTGTTTTGTTTTTTTTTGTGTTTGTTTTAATTGTTACCTACATTACAAAAACGCTGTGGTGAAGCGGAGCAGCACGTTACAGTGACTCACCAAACGCTCCCTGTTCAAACACATGCGTTTCAGCAGCTGTGCATTTACTCAAACGCAGCTCCCTGCCCTCTGTCAGGTCCTCATCTGCACACGCTGAGAAATATGGTGACACGTATTCATTCTGCAGTCAAACACTGGCGCTCGATGCTGGGCTGACAGGCACAAATCAATATTGACACTCAGGAAGGGGAACCAGATCAGCCAGCACGAAAAAAAAGCACTGGTAAAATCCACACGGCGCTCAACAGACTACCCTGGGTTTTTTTTTTCTTTCTTTTCTTTTTAATTTAATCAAGAATGAAAATGTTTCTTCCATCTCCGCAAAGGGATTTCCAGGCTTTCCCTCCTTCTGTCTGGAGGAAAAACAGCTCTGGCACAGTGTGTGCATGAGGCTGCAGCCTCTGCCAAAGCCTCCACACTGTTTTCTCTAAGACTCTAATAGTATGGAAAGATGAGTGAGTGAGTCTCTTTCCCCTGGGTTCAAAGGAAAACACCAGCAAATGTTTGCCATTGTTTTTAATGAACAGCATCAGCGTTTCATCAAATCATTTTCCTTCCACTGTTGTTTTCTTTTTTTCTCTCTCTCTAAGAGAGACCAGGAGCGGTGTGTCATTACTCTGTTATGATTGGACAATTACGGCAGGAAACCTCTGACTAAGACGATCCGTTTTACATGCAAATCTGGTCGTTTCGTATAAATAACCGGGGTTAGAATAACGACGGCTACGTTTTAGTTTCTCCCTTATATCTCGTTCGCACAAACGTCAGATTTATGGGAAAACAGTTTCACCGTCGACACAAGTGTTTTTACAATAAAAGCTGTTGATTTCTTTCACCGTCAAACACGACCTCAATCAAACAGACAAACGGTGAAACAAGGTTCTTGAAATGTAGCCAATAGCAGACGGTTTTGATGTGAGGACGTTTTTGGTCCAAACTTACTAGTACTAGTTTGTTGTCTTCATTTTAAGGTTATTTTGTTAAAACCAAATTCTCCTTGTAAATCAAGGTCGGCCTCTTCATTAGACACAATGACTCTGCACACTGTACTGTGTAAAAACTTTTGTTTTGAACTTTCTCTCTAGAGTCTGTTCATCATCACTGAGAAAATACAACGTGACACTAACCAACACTAAGTCAAAGCTGCTGCAATTATAAAGATTAATGAGGGTGAAATAAGTCAATGATTTTCTTTTTTTTTTCATATAAGGGAAACCAATAAGAGGCAGTAAAGTAGAACGTGAAGGTCTGTTCAAACGGTCGTGTGTCTGTTGGAACTGTGTCAGCCACAGAGACGCTCCAGGCAGCTGTGCAGTTTAACCTGCTACAGCCAACAACGGGGGAGTTGTGTGGAAGTGAACCCACCGTGCACAGACACACAGACACACAGACACACAGACTCACACACACACGTCACTCTCTGCTCTCACAGGACCAGATAAAAAAACAAAAAAACAACAACATTTAAACATCGTATACCAGCGTTACTCTCGGATGAATGACTCTGTTACGTATGTGGATCCTAAAACTGTCTGTCCATCTGTCTGTCGGTCTGTCTGCTCATCTCGCCTGTCTCCTGTGCACACACACACACACACTCACACACACACATCTGAAGCATGCTGGTGTGCGTCACCAGGGCCATCTGCTTGTTCACGGAACACTTTTCTACACTCCCGTTTTCTCCCATATCCATCAACACGAGTCTTTAACAACATCACAGTTTTAGTTGATTTGAAATGTGCTGTTGATGTTGTACTTCCCATGTGTGAGGCACGAGCTTTGACTAATGTAGAAGGTCTGACACCATCAACTGGAAAAGTTCCAGTCAAAGTTCTGCCAACGATGATTTGAACCGTCAGCTCAACTAGTCCAGTTAACAGATATGAAGAATTCATTTAAAGGATTACATTGAAATCCTGCAGCTTTCAATGTAAAACAAAGGCTGTGTGATGCAGCAGGACAGTCACTGCACAGGCTCTGGTCCAGGACACCAACCACGTCAGGACTAATGTCATGAAAAACTCCAAGATTGATGAAGACATGAAGTAACCAAAACACAGACAAACCCCAGAAAGGAACCAATGACTAGGACGAAAAAACATTTTTTGTAGATTTGCTCTTCCTACAGTAGATATACATCAGGCTACGCACTGAAGCAAAGTGAAGCCTTCAGATTCGTAGATATACATCAGGCTACGGACTGAAGCAAAGTGAAGCCTTCAGATTCCAGAGGTCAGCAGATAATGACTGGACAGAAGGAAACACAGACCTGTCCAGGCAGGTTCCACTTGTTCAAGGTCAATTAAGGAGGAAAATTTTGGACATGTTGCAAAATTATCCAATTATCTTACATGTAACCAGTGAAGCAGCAGCTCCACAGTGACAGATGGAGACCAGAGCAGCTGACCAAAGGTCAGATCAGGGGCCACGGCGACACAAACCTCCAAACTCTGTGGTTTAATTAAGAGTCTCAAATTAGCCCCGTGTCCCATCTGTACGTGGACTTTGCCACCGGTGACCTTCTGGAAGGGCGCTTTTGGGGAAAAAAGAAAATTCCATCTGCAATTGCACAGCCCACTGTTTGTGTGAGGACCATTAGATTCATCTGAGGTCAAACTGCAGCCTAAAGATTCTACCAGGTTTATTGATGGACTTCATCACTGACTCTGTGGTTCATACAAAGAGGGCATTCGTCGTCAAGGTTACAATAAATGCCACTTCCTTCCAACTCCCCTGGGTAACCTGATGCAACTCCCTCAATACACAGACAGCCACCGCACATGTGGGTGTTGTTTTCACCCCACGGCTAAGGTGAGGTGTCGTGTACGTGGATGATGACGCTTCCTCACACTTGGTTGAAAAAGAAGCAAAAATGAAAGCAGCAAGCTCACACAAATGACGGCGTAAAAATACGTCTCTGTCACACTGAGGAGACAATAATGGGCTTGTGTCCTCTCTCTGTCCTCTCAACACTTGTTGATGTTAACAGAGTGGGAGAGGCATTGTTTCCACCTGGCTGCTCCATAAAAGAATCCTCCGCAGCTCCTTCCAATAAGTGACAGTCTCTCAGAGTCTTCTTATTGAAGAAGAACACGTTGGTGTGTGCGCTCTGATAATGTGGTGACACACAATAGACAATAGACTAAACAACCTTAATAAAAGCTATGACAAACACAACAAAGAACTCACTAATGTAGTAGTGTGGCGCTGACGTCAGCAGAACCTGTTCATAACCACACGACAACAAACTCTTTCTGTTGAAGCTATGGGTCTAGAATTAATGATACATCTGTAATCACGGACCACACGTGTCTGTAGTGTGGTCTGTAGTGTGGTCTGTAGTGTGGTCTGTAGTGTGGTCTGTTGTCTGTTCCTGACCTGTCCTGTCCTGTCTGAGAAACCAGGTTAAACATGGTCACAGAGTTTTGTGTGACCTCCTAAAGCTCGGCGGCGCAGCGTCCTGTTGCTTCTTCAGAGCGTGGCCTACTGAGCTGAGCTGAGCTGCCACACACACAGATATTTTTAACCACGGGCTCAAAGGGACGGCTTACATTCCCGGCTGAACTGTGTCACTCACAAACTTTTCTTACACTTTCTGGGTGTGAGCGCAGCCAGCTACTCTCACATGCTGCGTGTCTGTGTGTGTGTGTGTGTGTGTGTGTGTGTGTCACCGGGGCACCGTGTCACCTCTACCTGACGCAGCTTCCCTGGATTATTTATTAACCCTAAAGCTTTAGAACCCTCATTAGAATACAGCGTTGGGGTTAAAGTGACAAACTCTACAAGTGAGATAAGAGTCAAAGATCTTTTCAGTTAAGAACTGAAGTTGTTGGATGAGGAAAAACACGTTGAAAAATGCATGAGCAGATTTAACGGTGACTGGTCACGAGGTTTCTCTGAGCATCCTGATTAAAATGGTAAAGACACACACACACACACACACACGATGTGATTGTACATTAAGTACTGCAATTAAAAACCTTTTTTCCCCTTTAATGTAACACATTGGTCATCGGCCTGGTTATCTGTACCCAGTAACGAACCCTAAAAACCTTTTTTCTCCCTTTAATGTAACACATTGGTCATCTGTACCCAGTAACGAACCCTAAAAACGACGACTGAAACACAACTACCCAGGATGCACGAGGGCTTCCGCCCACTGGTAAAAAAACAGCTGGATTGTTTTATATCCTCAAACACAAATCTAACTTGTAAGTCACATTATGTAGGGTAAATTTAATCCCTGAGCGCCAGCTTGTTTTAGACTGAAAATTAGATTTGATCACAGACGGGTGTACTCTAAATATCTTGTGTAAAAGCAGAAGGTGGAGGAAGAAAATGTGATAATTAGAGCAGCAACACTGGACTGACAGAGAACAGACGAAGGAGCTGAGGAGACTGTGGATGTTTAGCCTCACACACTGCAGGATAGGACTTCTGAAAATGTAAAGCATTTTGAAAAAAGGTGTAGAAAACTGGAAAGTGACAGCATTTGGTTTGTTCTTTATACTTTTTTGTGACAGTTGGCCTTGACTTCTTTTATTTAGGTTTTATTTTTAAAATGCCGTGACAGTTGGCCTTGACTACTTTTATTTAGGTTTTATTTTTAAAATGCTTTGATGACGTTTGACATTTCAATTAGAGAAAGAAAAAAAACCAGTCCTACCATCATCCAGTGTGATGTCCTGCAGGCCAATGGAGTGAAAGGTTGGCTCACTCTCCTCTGGCTCTTGCTTGATGCTCAGACTCTCGTTGTCCAAAGGAAAGGGTCCCTGAGGACTAAGTGGGTGAACCAGAGGCCCTGCTGCTGCTGGAGACAGGCTGGCCATGACAGGACTTGTTGCCTGTGGAGAGGACTGCTGCTGGAGGGGCCCCAGAGGGCTGCCACCTGAAGTGGGGGAGGAGGAGGTGGGAGACTGGTAGGGCAGGGAGTGGAGCTGAGGGGAGGAAGGCCCTGAGTGCGGTGAGGGAATCATGCGTGGTGCAGGGGCACTAGACGGAGTGGGGCAAGAGGCTGACCTCTGACCTACTGGGTGGTAGCCCATAGCTCTCTGCAGTTGGGAGGAGTGCTGCCCGACAAGAGTGTGACCAGTGGGAGAGGCCTGGGCAGCGTTCGGGGAACAGTGATAGCCTCCGAGGGTGCGCAGGTGCGGGGAGGAGGGGCTGAGCAAGGACTGCTGGCTCTGAGGGGACCCTACGATGGGATTGGTGACCGCAGCGGACGGACCTGATGGTGACGAGCACGGCGAGGAGGGGTAGACCATCCCCATCCCCATTGGGTGTGAAGCTGCACTTGAACTCTGCTGAAACGGCATCCGCTCGTAACCCTGAGGAGAGAAGCTGGACTGGCCGTTGAAAGTCAGGCTCTGACCGTGACCGTGGCTCTGACCGTGGCTCTGACCGTGACCGTGGCCGTGGCTGGGGCTGGGGGGGGGGTGGGGTAGGCGGGGGAG